GTAAGTAAAATGCTCGACATATTCAAAAATTATTAATAAAGTTTTATAAATTAACAAATCCAGTTTTTACAATTAATTGGAAACGATGTGCCTCGCACTTCAAACGACAAATGCGATTGTTACACTGCTATATCGACGTAAACACCAGATCACAGACATTTACATAAAGCATAATATATAAAATATAGAAAGTCAACCAATCAGAGTTTTTTATTTTATGGAAAGGAAGGAAATGAAGAATTTTGATTGGTTAATTTTCTTATGCATTATGCATTATGCAAGACCCTGTGCTCCCGCTGTAATGTATACTCTTAAGTAACGAAATTCCATGAAAATAAAATTATAAAGTGTCCAATACAAGTGTCCAATGCGAAAATAATCCACTGCCTTGCGTAGCCAATTTGTTCGTTCACGGTCGTACAACTGATCACGACGATAGTCGTAAAAGCGAAGGGGGGAAAGCCGCTTTTACGCGGAGACCACATTGACGACAACCATTTTAACGACATCCAATGTCCGACGAATAACCAGCTGGGCTATCGCGGAGTTTCCTTTCTCCTTTGCCACAAGACACCCAATAGATCTCACACGCACGCGATAAATCGTCGACTCGTAAAGCGACGTTTCTCTATTCAGTTAGGGAGAGTCCCAAGGAAATTAAATGCGCTCGAAAGGGTTCATCAAAATCATGTCTCGGCGCGCGACGAAATTAACTCCCTGTAAAGTACAGGCGTATCTCGGGTTAACGTAGGCTGAATGATCGGGACCATTGATCGGATCATTTCCTGGCAATATCAATTGAAATAGCACATTTATGAGCACAAGATATCAATCAAAAAACGTAAAATAAATAAATTACCAAAGATTTTAAAACCTTAATGCTGTTGAAAATTTTGCATGAAATTAATTGAATAAAAAGAATAGGAAAATGATGTTAGTATCTAATAATTTGCGACAATTATCATAAACATATTAAAAAATGTATCAATACTAAATAATTTTTTTTTTAATTATCTGTACTTATTAATTTTTTAAATATAATCGGTTTTATTTATATTTCATAAAAGTCTCAAGAAATATTATTTTATAGATTATTTATACGTAGAATAACCTATCCACATTTATAATATTGTCACTAAGAAAATTATTTTTTTGGTAAATGTTTTATTTTATAAACCAAAGTTTAACTGTAATATAATAATTTTTTTTAATTTACAAAAATTTTTGGTTAAAACATTCTAAATAAAACTATAATTATAATATAAGCTAAATTATTTAATTGTTAATGAAAATAATGAAAATAAACAAATATTTTTGTTATTTACAAAGCAGAAAAATGTATTTAGTAGAAACAACCAAATTTTTTCTAATATATGTAAAGAATTAAATTATATTTCATTATTAATGAAAATTGTTAATAAAAATTCAAGTTTGTATTCTGCACTGTCACATTTAGCAATTTAACTACTTCACCAATTTTCACTGGAAACAGTTACGTTATAGGGAGTTAAAGCCAGTTACGTACGCAAGTTGATTAAGTTGCGTTAAGGTTGCTTTCTTGATTCTAGGTGAGGCTAGCGGAACATTGGGGTGCCACTGAAGTTCGTAGCCCTATGGAAATACGCATAAGCTGCAACCCGCGAGTACTCCCGGCGGTGGTAACATCGGCACACTCCATACCCAAGCGGAGTAAACTTCTCTGATTTCCCCGCTTGTGAAGTAATTATCATCCACGCGCGCGCTTATCGCGGCGATGTACATCGTTGGCGGGTACTTGAACGTGTAATAATGGAAATTTCAGCGACCACCGCGTTTGCGGAAACCGGCGCACTCGATCAAACTTCGTGCAACTTTGTTGCATGTCACGGTGAAACTCGCAATTTCTAGGTTTACGACGTGATTTTCTTTATTCCTTTTTTGCTATAAAAATCTTTGCCAATCGCGCGGAAATGCCTGGAATTTTTGTTACGAGTCATTTCGTTTGGCGCTTGCTCAAATCGCAGGAAGATCAATGCGCTTGAAAATAAGACGAAATTAGATGTTTATTTCTCGAAAAGCTAGATATTGGTTGCAATTTATAAAATTTATACGGCCACAATTTGTGAACATATTTAAATAAGTGAGAAAAAGTTAATACAATTGAAGTTAGATCTTATAAATATCTAATTTTTATATATAAATTCTAAATCTTTTATTTATACAAACTGGCGCCGCTTACTGTCGGACTTGAAACGCAATCATAAACTGAAATAATATCACAATTATGAATTGATCATCGATTTGGTAATACTTAATATAATTGCTACTGCATTTAAATTATATGTTTAACTTTAATCAAAATTATAATTGTGTCTCTTTTTTTATAATCCCTATCCTCTCCTTCTGATTAAAATAACAATAATAATTAATACATAAATTTATTATTTGCCGTTTTATATTCAATTTTCAAAAATTGCGTCTTTTTACCTGACTCAAAACCTTTATTTTCGCTTTCTTAAAAGAATCATAATAATTATCACGATTATATACACAATAAATATTATATTTAAACAATGCATTTCATGGCCATAAATTTTAATTGCATCATCACTATGGAAGTAAATCTCATTAAGACAGTATAGGCTGCTAATTTTCTTGCGCGATCCCGCGGAAATCCACACGAATGATCCATTCGTCACCGAGCCGAAGTCTCCGTGGATTTAGCCGCGGATGTAGGCCGCGCAGTAACACGCGGATATGCGCGTGAATCGCAGTCGGAGTGGATCCTCGTCGGCCACAGATACGATACTCGGATTCCACTGTAGTGGGAGACCAGAACAGGAGAACGGAGAGAGGAGGTGTGACAGGTGCGTTCAGATACGTGTAGCCAGAAGCTGCACGGAAATATGTCACACGCCTAAATCGAGATCACTGCGCGAACTCTAGCCAAACGGACGGGCGATCTTGAACCTCTTTTTGGAAAGCCTGTGGTATTTTATTTGGCCAAACGCAGAACAGTGTTGGCCCGGGCCAGATATAGAAGTCCGAAGCGCGGAACACGATGGGAATTGCCTCTGCGATCGAGCTTCACTATGCGACGCGACGCGAACCACGGAAATAATGCAAACTGTAAATAAAGCAAAATCCGGCTTCACACGCATGCCTTCGTTGGATTGACGATTGTTGGATTTTTTTCTCGGAACCTCGGCTTGGTGAAGTGAAAACTGATCGCTGTTATGAAATAAAGACTCAGCTCTAACAGCCGTGACTGCAACGCGATAGAACTAATATTTATAAAATGCATAATTATTTGTGTTTCTCGGACTTCAATGATAATGATGATTTATTATGTTATCTGTCTGTGATCTTATAATTTGTATATGTATCAAATGCTGCTGCGTGAGCGTTGCAACGTATTGCAATGCATGTAAAGGAAACGTAAACACACGGGCCGTCTGCAGCGTTGCGAGTTTAAAAATGGAACGTACAAATATTTCCATTATTCGAGTTTGGAACAGTACCAAAGATTGATTGGATCGTTGTTAATAAATGCGTGACATAGTCGAAGGTAAACGCTTACGAATTGGGCGAACTCATCCG